ATCCTAACTACAAAACTTCTAATGATCTTGGTAAAGCACAATAAATTCTTGTCTCATCATTTCACAACAAATGAATAGTATAAAATTTAATGAAAAAAGAGCTCCAATTACAAGTAGTGTCTTGACACATACCATAAGCGTTACTGAAAATTGATAAATTTTTATTATTTTTTCAAATCATGTACAAATTATGAGATGAAAACTAGATCCACCGTTTTCTTCTACCATTAGTTTGGCATAAACTGTAGATCAGTAGAATAAAAATAAAAATAGCATGATTTAAAATCATAGGAATGATGGTGACAATTTCAAAAATACAAAAAAAAATTTTTTTTAAACCCAAAAAAAACAGCCCCATAATAAATGATAACAATAATAACAAAACAGGTTCAATATCATTTATAAGAACACTGGCTATGAAACCTAAAAAAGCTCCCCAATCAAAAATGCAAAGCCAGGCTAGCAGTCCACTCTACACTGTCCTTTGCTCATGATTCCTTGGATCCAAACACGCAACTCTGACACTGGTACAGAGTGTTCAGAGAAAATAAGGCCTTCAATTTTCCTTTCTTTACAATTCCATAGCTGTCAACTTTCCATATAACCAAAAACAGACTCTACTACTCAGTGGATCAAAATGGTGAACATCATTGGCCAGGTTACTCCCTCTCTGACCCCTACAGATGCACTTTTCTGCATTCAATCAATTCAAAGTAGACCTGCAGTGAAAGATCTCTCCAACTGACATTTGAGCTTCATTCTCATTATCATTCCCTAATCCAGTCTAAAAGGCTCATAATTTTCTTAGAGCATTGACAAGTCTGTGAAAAGCAAAACTAGACAACAGAGATTACATATTTTCTACTATGAAAGTGGACTCCTATACTCAGAGCCTCGAAAACTATTAAACCTCCTTTTACGAACTGGTTGGCAGCTGTGCAATTCTGCCTATGGTTACTACAGCCAGTTTCACTTATGAAGCTAATTATCAGAAATATGGACGTAAAAGGAACAAATTAAGCAAGTGGGGAAGGAAAAAAACAACAGACAGGAATTTGAGCAGCATTAAGTCTCATAAGTTAATGTAATGAAAAAACTTGAGAGTCCCAATTTTGAGACCCTTCACTGCTGATTCAAAATACATGCACAAAATCAGATCAGCAGCAAACTACTGCCATTTTAGATATTCCACAAAATACTGTTGGTCCTAACAGAGTTTATCTTTTTGTGATAAAACTCCTCTTGGATCATCAATAACTTCAAAGTTCAAAGGAAAAGAGTTATGGTATCTAACCCAAAATAGAAAGCAGAAAGTTTTCAGCCCCAGCGCCATTGTTCCATGTTTCGCAATACCAAGGATGCATGTCAAAGCCAACTACAAAAGGTTAAAAGTGGTGGATATTTCAAGGTCAGAGGCAAAGCTTATCGAACATTTAAGTTATCAATAATAAAAAGTACCACAACCAATAAATATTAGTTCATGACCTACCTTCTAGTATTAAATGTTTAGGGACAAAGACCAATGGGATTGGAGATGAAGGGTTTGGGGGAGGGGACATGATGTGCAAGAAAGAATGAAAAAAAAAAAAAATGAAAATAACCATTTTTTACAACTTGAAAGCTTATTTATCAGAGATGCCATATCAAATGTTGCAATGAACAAGCGAAAACTGATTTAATACTTTACATAAAAAATGGTTTATTTGAGCAACCCATCAAAATCTAGAATGGAAAGTGGCCTTACCTATTCAGTGTGTAAATTATAGAGATAAATTTATTTCACAGGAAACGGTTGACAAGAAAGCAATACAAAACATGTTCAAAAGACTGAGACATTTCTCCAAAACAGTCCCAATTAATCCTTTAGTCAATCAATCTTTGATTAACAAACGAACCCCCAAAAAACTATGAAAAAACAAATCTGTAAACTAAACTTATCTTATGAAAAAAAAGGGTTACATGTTAATGGATAATATAGAATTTGCACCTTGGCTTCCTATAACATCAAATCGCAAAAAAAGTAAGGTCTAAAGAGAAAAAGTAAAGGGATCCCTCAGTATTTAGGTACAAAGCCTGCAAAAAGTAACCTACCTGCGAGAACCAAACAGGAACACCAGTAGCATAAAATGACGTGGTTAGAGAGTTGAACAATATCTGCTTCAGTCGCATGTTGAAGTCTCTTTTGAGAATGTCCACTTCATCTCTCACGATGTCAGGGGTCAGAGTGCATGCATGGCCAAGTGGAACATCATCCTTGTAGCAAACACAACAAAGCATAATCAACAATCTATGCAAAGTAAGTCAGCGAGTGGTAGGGTTTAATAACACCTCTTTCAACACATTTAACGTATTCAACTGTTTTCGTCCTATCGTCGACCTCCCACCCCCCCCCCCCCCCCCACCTAGACTATACTAGTCCTAAGGCTGCCTCACTATATAAGTTGGAATTCAGGGTATATGTTTCAAAGAGTTGTATGTCTTACATTTATTGTTCGACTTCATGAGGTTTCGCAGTAATCTTGGAAATTAAACGCGGGTTTTGAAAATGGTACCACAAAAATTTTGAGGTGCACACCATCCTCTATTTGTAGCAGCTTGAGAGGTTTGATCCTGAGTGCAGAGATGCCAACCACAGAAAATCGAAATGAGTATTGGGAAATATGAAAATGTGTATTTTCAGGGGAATATGTGTATTCCCCATGACCGACCGACCAACTAGAAAGATTAAAATGTTCAGGGTGTCCAGCAATATTTCCGGAAAAAAAATTACTAGCTCACCAGCTCGAAAAAGGGAGCACACACGCGTACAATATACATGTATCCAGTCAACAACATGTCAGTGTTCAGTGTCGTACTGGGGTCTTGTTTGACTTCAGCATTTCAGTCTATTATATACCAGTAATATTTTCCTCTCATTATGATATAAAAAAATTAATCCTGCTTTGAGAGTTCGGAAGGGCCTTGAACAAGAATTTTGACTATCAAAAACCAGTCTGGGTGTCCATGATTCATAATATGAACTGACAGACTCAAATTATTGCTCAAACTCAGATAAAAGCAATAACTTGAAAGGCTCAATTAAATGACCCATGCACTATGAGAGTCGTTACAACTGTGGGAGGGCAAGATGCAGTGACGCTGAAAATCTGCCAGTCTTGAACAGAAAGCTACAACATACACTGTAGGTATAATTTACTATCACCCATCCAATGAAACGCGAACACTTTATTTCAATAACACAGACTTGCAAAGTATGAAGGGTCCTGATTCCGCACACAGCCTGCACCAACGCGCGCTTTGCAGAAAGCTTTAATCAAAATTCTGAAATGTGCTTCCAAGTTTTTGTCCTCTGGTGTTGCCTTAAACCCTTAAACCCCCAAAAAATCAATAATCTCCTCCCCTATTCCGTAGTCCTATACTCCGCAACGCCGTTACTCCCACCACAGACGGTCTTTACTCACACGATGCCGCATTCCACAAGTGACAGCACAGAGACGAGTCCGAGCATTGATGAAATTTTATTTGCACGGCGACATTGTGTTTATACTGCACAACCTGCATGTCACAAATGTTGCGTTATCAGACAACTGCTGGCAAACTTCTCGGTAGTAGATCTTGATTTTCCTGATTGAGCCTCGGTGTCACATACGCTTCCGCCTGCCGCCATAGCTGCCTATTCATGTGAAAGTGAAATGTACTCTCCGGACCGGGAAAAGCAGAACGAATATAATATCACGATCGCCACCGGCAAAAATGAACTCACTGACCTTATCGGACTAGGTTTTCAAATATTCCAGTTCTGCGATACTGATACTATTTTGACAAAAGATGGGACTTGAGATAATTAGGTTTACTCGCCCAAGCTGAATCTCGTATTTTTCGCATTTCAGGATGCGTATTTTTTCATGAAAAGTCGTATTCGCATATTTTCGGCAAAAAATCGTACTAAAATACGTAAAATCGTACTAAAATACGTAAAATCGTACTGGTTGGCATCTCTGTGAGTGCCATTACCCTTTCTCACACCATGATGTCCCTTTGTTACTTATCTGCAACTTCCAGAGCTGGTTCCTTCACCATCATCTGTGCTACTAGTACTAGAATCAAATCCGAGTTCACTCTCATTCAAGTTTGAATTTTTGACATTTGCTTCAGAGTCACTTTCATCTGAATAGTCCTCCCGTTCACTCTCACAATCCAGCACTATTAATTGTGAACATGTGTTTCGTATAACCATTCAAGTTTTGCTGTAGCCTGGACTAGTACTCATCATGAGTGTATATCAATAGTCCAGATGAAATAAGTTAAGAGGCGAGACATCAGAATTGACAAATCCATAAGGGTTAAGAGCTGTGACAACTCCACAACACAATGAGAGTAAAAGAATGCCATATTCGGGGATTCAAATCGTTGCTGTCTGCTTCATAGTCCAACATGATACCAGTTGAGGTAACACAATGCCCGTTTACACATAGTGATGCAAATATTATAAATGAATCATATCAATACTTTAACAACCTTACTAAAATCCCCCCCCCCCCAAAATGTTAATCAAAAACAGCTTTTGCTAAATAACATAATACAAAGGTGCAAATATTATAGACGGACCATATCAATACTTTAACAACCTTACTAAATTCATAGAAAAATAAACGTTGATTAAAAAGTGCTTTTGCTAAATAACATCATTTTCTATCATCGTCGTATCTTGACAGAATAGTGTCCGGATGATATAGAAAATTTTTTCAACAACCCCTTTCTTGACTTATTGCAAAAGCACTGAAACCAACTTTCATTTTGTAGCTCAACACCAAAATGGATATCTGATTTAAAGAATCCTACTATAAACTTTTAAAGACGAACTAACATTTACTTTTTTTTGGTGAACTTTACTGACCAGCATTACGTAGCGCTAAAAAGAATAATTCTCATTTTTAAACAATATTCAAGAGTACAGAATGCCAATATTGAGCAAATACAGTCCAGAATAAGAATGACTCCTCCCTCAAAGTCATGTATTTCAGCTCCTACGTAGACGATGGTGGTGAACACTTACCCTGACCTTGAACCTCTGCGGCCCCGATGTCTGGCGATCCATGCTGAGGGCAGGTCGGGGCCAGGCTTGGTAGCGCTGGTACAGCGGTTTTACGGCAAACCCAAACAGGACGAGATAGATGACAACACTGAAGGAAACACAAACATATTCAGGATATTGTTTTTTTTGTTTCAGTTAAGAGATTCAAAAAGATATGATACCGTTCACTTGATGGAGGGAAACGGGAAGACAGACAGAAACATGAGAGGGAAAGAAAGATAAAATATGTAACTGACTTATGGTGTTCCCTGACCACCCGCAACATACTCATAAACCTGACAAGCATAACAAAAACATGCTCATAATGGTCTAAATATAACTAAAACATACTCATTAAACCTGACAACCATAACAGTACACAAACATATTCATATACCTGGCAAACATAACACTTTTTTTTTGGTAAGCATTTTACGGCACTTGCAATACAATTAAGTCATATAAGTGCCAAAGATTAGAGGTGTGTTAAGAGAGTAAAAAACATAAAAAAGGAGGAGAGAAAAGGACAATAGATGTTTGATGGGGAAGAAGGAGCAATCCACATCAGAGCACACCCCGATCAACCACAAATATGCATTTAAATATAATAAACAGAACAAAAAACGAACTCAAGAACCAAAACAAACACAACACAAACATACTCATAACCCTGACAAACAAGACCACATTCTGAAGCAAAGCCGAAGCAGCCCCTTCAAGTAAATAACATAAATTGTGTCAGTGGGGGCATAAAACATTAACATTTACATTAAATGCAATCACTTTCGCACTGAAAACCGAAATCACTTACGGATAAAACAAAAACAGGCATGTTTTGATACCATGCTCAGAAACAACCATGTAGCCGGTCACTCCAAGACCAATGATAAAGCAAAAGCTGAGTACGACCTTTGCCCCCTGCATCAACCAGAACAACAGTTTTGCACTATGAATCTGAAAAACAGAATATATAGCTCACTAACTTAAACACATTTTCGCTTGTACACACTGTGAGCAAAAATCGTGAAAAAAAAAAAGATTTAAAAAAATGTATGTATATATAAAGAAGTCACAAAGATCAACTAAATTATTATGTAAACATGCATAATGATCTAACGAAATGACCCTACCCACCCCAACATGTCCCAAGTTCCATTTCACACAGCACAAAGGCTTACATTCAAATTGGAAAGCCCATAGAGAAAAGCCTGGAGCAAAACAAATACACTTTAACAATTACAGCCCCAGTTGTGTATATTTCCCTCATGACTTCTCCTTCCCCCATGCTCAGGGGCTTATATTTCCCTCACAGTGTGCTGACCTCTTCAAACTCAGGTGCATTGTTTCATCCCTAATCTATACAGATGCCTCTGAAAAATATTCTACCTGTTGAATTTTAAAATTTCAAACAAAAGGAGTGGTATACAATTTTTTTCATGTCCGCAATAAATTACAGACACAATCACTATTGGCTGGGCCAGAGGAGTCAAGGAGTACCTGGTTTGGAGGGAAGTGAGGGCTAAAAATAGCCTAGTGCTGTAAAGATGAAGTAGTAGGCCTACAGTACACTCGCAGAGAACTACAATCTGATGTGGTAACTTTTGCTCCGAATCATAGCCATTTCGCACAGAACTACAATCTGATGTGGTAAATTTTGCTCTGAATCATGGCCATTTCAATCAGAAAAAAGCCTCAGCAAAGAAACAGAAATCTTGGCACAGAATTATTCCTTTTCTCTATACAAGACAAAAACTATCAAATCAGGTCACAACAAAATTTGTCAAAAGAAAAGGGACTTATATTAACTCTCCCATTTTTGTTCAGAAAATATTATTTCTATTGCGGCTGCTGTGACATCTGCAGTGTTGAGTGAAGTAGTGGAAGTTGAACATTAAAAAAATAAGGCTCTCAGCCATTATTTTTAGAAGAACAGAACACAAAACACTTTATGGATTACATGACACAAATAAAAGTTACAGAAATGCTCCTCCAGGTTGGGAAGAAAGTAGAAAGACTCTTTATTTTTTTTAAAATTCAGTTACAGAAACTGCAAAAAAACTTGTTTGAAGTTTGACTGCCAAAGAATAAATTGGGAGTCAATGACAACTCTACACAAAATATGGCTATCTAATGACTAACCCATGGTTGAGAAAGTTGTTCTCGGTGCAAGAATGTACTCACCTCTTGTACAAAGTAGACCAAAAATCTTGTAGCCAGCAGTATTGAAATAAAACCAACCAGGTAAAAATCAATAAGGTAAAAATTCTGGGGGAAAAAGGGAGGGGGGGGGGAGGGGGGGAAGGAGGGATGAAGGAATAGAAATATTAAAATACAGTTAGCTTGAAAACCATTTCTTTTTCATTTCAACACACACAAAAAAAGTAAACACTTAAAAGGAAAAATCCATTTTTCAGTTTCAGTTTAATGATGCTTTTTCCATCTGTAGAGTTTTATGAAGAGGAGACTCATTGGTATAAATCAAAATGAAATTATCTGTCAGCAATATTCTCACTATTTGACAAAAACTAGACGAAATGCAAAGGTCAAAGTTTTAAAAGGGCCAGATGAAAACTATGCCTCAAACAAGTAACAACCTCTCAATAATTTACTACTTCAGCATTCTTTGTCTTTTCTTGCTTTTTTCTTTGAGAGGCGAACACTGTACTCTTGACCACAAGAGCCCTTACTTCAGAATTCCAATAACTTTTACTCATTTGCCATGATGGTGGCCTCTCCCTTGGTTGAAAAAAAACCCAAAAAACTTTGTTCTTCACTGAACCTACCAGAGCATACTGTGCATGGGACTGTGGCAACCACCACACGGTCTTGTACAAGTTGATGTACTGTAGACACATCATGATGATACCAAAGACAAACAGCATGCACTCAAAATACAGGTTGCTGTCCATAGGGATATCTGGCAGGTAGCTGTGTTTGGGCAGGACCACCATCGAGGCAAGAGGAACCACATTGCCACTTGAGTCATCGGGACCGTGGCTACCAAAAAGAGAAAAGAAAAATTCAAAGAATGATGTGTGTGGAATTCTTTAACTTCAAGTTAAAAGGGAATATTTGCGATCTTGTATGATATATAGAGCAGTAGAGGATCCTTTACAACAAACAAAAATTTGTTGAGCTAGGGTTGCCGTGTCTTGCTCAAGGACACACCCCAGTGACCACTCACCTAAACCCCTGCGGTATTGACACTTGCTTGACATTACTGATTACTTTTGAGTCTAACTCACTATACTATTCAATTAGCCACTGTACAGCCCACATAAAAAACAAACAACAATTACTTAGTGGATTCAGAAACAAAGAAAGATTTTCAACTATTCCCTACAACTTTTGAATAGTTTTCTGTGATTCCATTCTCCAATTTATTTCTTTAAAAATAAATTCTCCTTCGATACTTGCTTTATTTCCCGACTTTTCCATAAGTCTCAAGGGAATTACACTAGTGTGGCGACTAACCTTAAGACCAAATTGTTGAGGTGTGTTGTTGTTATGTGTAGTACGTTGCACTTGAGTTCATGAGTAACAGTTCAGTGAAAGTGTCCAAGCTGTTCGGGTGGAAAGTATGAAAGTCATGTCTCGTCCTGCTACAACTTACATGTGTGTATGTCTCTTCATGCTACATTGGTGACCCCGGCCTGATTTTGAGAAACGTATCATCGTTACTAGATTCCAGGTTATGCTAAATTAAATCTAGATCTCTAGACAAGGTTACCTTAAATCACGTTGGAGTCACTAATGTAGCACAAACATTTCAGCGACTGATGGACACAGTGCTTCAGGACCTAGATTGTGTGTTTGTATATATCTGGATGATATCCTAGTTGCTAGTTCATCAGCCCAGTCTCACGTCGACGACCTCACTGCAGTTTTTCAGCGGTTGCAACACCACGGAACGGTGATTTAACTTGAAAAATGTCTTTTTTCCGTTGCATCACTTGATTTTTTAGGACATCAGGTTTCTGCGTCAGGTTCAACACCTATGCCCTCGAGGGTTGATGCCGTTAAGGAGTTTCCTAAGCCAAGTACAGTCAAAGCGCTGCAGGAGTTTCTGGGTGTGCTGAATTTTTACCACCGTTTCATTCCCAACATCGCTGTGATTTTGCACCCACTTTACCATGCTCTGAAAACAAGCCTTGGCAAACGCATCTATTCTGGTTCATCTGGGCGCAGACTGCCCAATCGTTCTCACTTGTGATGCATCTGATGTGGCCGTCGGTGCAGTCCTCCAGCAATACAAGAAAGAACGTTGGGAGCCTCTCGTCTTTTTCAGCTGGCAACTATGTAAGTCAGAAATGAAATACAGCACCTTTGATAGAGAGCTTTTAGGTGTCAACCTTGCAATACCCCATTTCCGGTACATGGTGGAAGGTAGGCAATTTATTATCTACACCGATCACAAATCATTGGTCTCTGCAATGTCAAAAACTACAGACTTGTGGTCAGCCCGGCAGCAAAGGCAGCTATCTGCTATCTCAGAATTCAGCACAGGCATCAGGCACATATCTGGGAAGACAAACATTGTTGCCGATTATCTCTCATGTGCTGTGATCACCACTAATGCAGTCTCACTGGGCATAGATTTTACAGCCTTAGCAGCAGCTCAGCAGTCAAGTACAGCTGATATGCAAGCGTACACTTCAGCTATCATAAGCCTAAAAGTCGGTAAAACGAACTTGAGCCACGAAGGTCCCGAAGCCTTTTGCGACATTTCAACTGGCAGAGCTCAGCCCATAGTTCCTCCAGAGATCAGACGCCAGGTGTTTGAGTCTGTACACAACCTTGCACACCCAGGGGTTAAGGCTACTGTCAAGCTCATCTCAGAAAAGTTTGTGTGGCATGGCCTACGACATCAGGTTAGCAGTTTGGGTGAAACAGTGTCACGAATGCCAGACGTCGAAAATCCAGAAGCACACCCGTGCTCCCCTAGAGACATTTAGAGTACCTGACAAGCGGTTTTCACACATCAATATTGATATAGTGGTTCCACTTCCTCAGTCCTGTGGTCCAAGGCATCTTTTGACCATTATTGACCGCAACACACGATGGCCAGAGGCGATCCCTATGCCTAACATAACAACAGAAGAATGAGTTAACGCTCTCATAGGAGGCTGGACCTCCCGTTTTGGTGTTCCTGCCGATATATCATCGGACCAAGGATCTCAATTCACTTCTGCAATTTGGACTGACATAGTAAATGCCTTGGAGTCCGCTTACATAGAACAACGGCTTTTCAACCTCAAGCAAATGGGAAGAGCAAATGGTTCCATTGCTCACTTAAAACGGCATTGAAGGCCAGACTCATGGGTAAAAAACTGGGTGGAAGAACTTCCTTGGGTACTCCTAGGGCTACGAACAGCTCCCAAGGATGACCTGGGGTTCATCAGCAGAACTGGTTTATGGCGAGCCACTGACCGTTCCAGGTGATCTTTTACCCTCTGAAGCATCTGCCCGGTCAGCAACAGATTTTTTAACAGCTTTTCGAGCTAAAGCACAGTTCACTAGGCCTAGATCGGCTATCCCCAACAGTGATCTAGTCACATACTTCCCACCATCTTTGTTAACAGCGAAGTATGTTTACATCCGCACAGACACCGTGAAAGGTTCACTTCAAAGACCATACACAGGTCCTTACATGGTGCTCACCCCTGGAGAAAAGACCTTTCTTCTGGACATCGGAGGCTGCACGGAATGCATCTCAGTAGATCGCCTCAAGCCTGCATATGTAGACCCTACCCAACTTGTCCATCTACAGCAACCAGCACGACGTGGCCGCCCTCCAGTGTAGCGGGAATCAAAGCCTACCGTTAGGAACACCGATGGGCGAGAGCAAGCTACAGAGGCGGTTTACCACAGACAACTCACATCACATGCTGGACGTCAAGTGTGTCCACTCGCACTCTACCAATGATCCCATGAGACGTCTGTGCTGGGGGGAGGTGAGTGGTGACTAACCTAAAGACCAAATTGTTGAGGAATGTTGTTGTTATAAATGTGTAGTATGTCGCACTTGAGTTCATGAGAAACAGTTCAGTGAAAGTGTCCAAGCTGTTCGGGTGGAATGAATGAAAGTTATGTCTCGTCCTGCTACAACATACATGTGTGTATGTCTCTTCATGCTACACTAGTTCACTTTCATCTGTGAGCGTTAAAAAAATTCTAGTTCATGTTTTAATTTACCTCTATGCCCAAGAAACTTTGCATGGTACTCTGCTGGCTAATGACCAAACAAAAATATTTTTTCAAAAAATCTTGATCCAGTAATAAAAATGTTTTCCTCTATGGGCCCTGTACTAAAAATCACTCTTTAGATGCATATATAGATCTCAAAACACCATTAAAATAAATGGCAGTAATCTTGCCTACAAATTTCGAGACAGCGACACCACCCTGCCCCCACATTTTTCTGTGTTAATTTAGAGATTTTAATTTCATCCCCCCACTGTCTAGATATTTCCACTTACTCCATGTGTGAGTCTCGAAAATTACTCACCCTGTTTCTCGAATCATGTTACTTAGATGAGCATAAAAGTGGTGTTGAGGAAAATATGTCAACTTTTCAATGTTTTAGGAGTTGATATATATCTGTAAACCCCCTCTTATTATTTTATTTTTTTTACCCATTTTAGGCTTACATCAGAGAAAATGTGGCTGAACCTTAATTTTCAGTAACTGATATGAATCCATCTTTTCTATCCTGAGACCATATTATTATAACCCCCCCACCCCCCCCCAATTTTTTTGTTACTACTGCCCCTTGAGACCTCCGCAATTGGTCCAAAGCCCGAAAGTTACTACGCAATTAGGCTTAGAGATCTAGATCTAGTGTGATATTAGGCTAGTTTCATAATAAAAACCACCAAATATTTTTTTAATTAGACCTATTCGATTCTAATTTGCGACGGAAATGAAATTGATATCAAATGTCCTGTTCAGCAAATCAATAACAATATAACAATTATCAACATGCAGCTAAATGTATAACGACGCACCTGCTGAAGGGCTGCTAATTTTAGTGATGTGACGTTATCACATTCCGGGATACCCATTCATTATTTTTAGAACGCCGTGAAGACACAAAAGATTCTCTACTACACTACTACATGATCTTTGGAGATACCGCGTAGAATGACATGTTGAGTCAGTGGCTTGACGTATTATCTGTATTGATGTGTTTCGCATTTTAAAATTTCACACTTGTGACTAACTGCAGCCCGTCAGCCATGCTCTGATAGGTAACACAAGGTTTCCGGTACGTTAGTACCATTTCGAAATTCCAGTACTTGGACATGACAGAAGATCGCTTAGATCGTTGATGCTCAGAACAGTAAGAACGCTGATGCTTGGAATTGAAACACGGTAAGCATAAAGACCACAATGCGTGCGAAAATTGCTGTAAAGATGCCGGAAAGATTACCCCCCCCTCCCCTAGGCCCTATACACAATGCGCAGAAGAGATATAAGCAGCAGCATCATCGGAGCACCGCATCATAATAATAATGGATTGCATTTATATAGCGCATATCCACTTATGCAATGCTCTATGCGCTTAACATGATACATATAATGGATTTACAAATCAATTTTAAAGGTACATAGTGTTACATACTCATGCAAACACATATATTCACTCACGCACGCACCACACACACATAGATACTCACATACACACATACGTACATATGCACATACTACGCACATACAAACTCACAACGATCTACAGCTTGGATGCATTCTGTCTAATCGAAATATGATGAAAATAGAAATGATTTTAGTTTCTTCTTAAAAATTTCTAGATTTTCTGCTTCTCTGATAGTTTTTGGAAGCCTATTCCAAACAAGTGGGGCAAAATATGAAAAAGAGCGTTGGCCATATGATTTGTAATTTATTTTAGGCTTAACAAGGGTTGTTTTGTCACTTGATGATCTGAGCATTCTAGGAGGCACATAGGGTGTTAAAAGCTGTTTTAGATAGTTTACAAAGATTATCAGTCATATCTTCTCCCAAAGTCATGATATTTGAATGAAACTTGGCAACGTAAAAGATTCCTCCTTGCTAAGCAATGCTCTGGATCAATTTGTCACAAAAATTTAAGTAGAGAGCTGGATTTATTAGTCTAATACATCCAGTTCTCTACTAGTAAAAGCATGCACACTTTGTGATAGAAAATACGATCGTCTCTGTATATATATCCATTGTTGGACAGTAGTGTCCTATTGTGTGGTAGATTAAGATGCGTTTAGATAATATAGTTTACAAGTCCTCGGAATATTTCGCATGTTGGTGGCTACAACTCATACTATAAATGTAACAGATATTTACCCCCCCCCCCCCTCTCTCTCTCTCTCTCTCTCTCACACACACACACACACACACACGTGCACACACACATGCACGCGCGCACTCAAGCATGCACGCGTGAACGATTTATAACAATGAATAAACGGGACTATCTTCCCAGACTGGACTAAATAAGTACCAAACTCTTTAAAAACAATCTCAATGCCTCAATTTTCCAAATAGAGCAAACAGGACCGGTCCAAGTGTGCACTTTCCCAAGAGGGGGGAAGAGGCTTTCATAATGCAAACACAATGTCATACCACTTTTTAGATGTTTGCTTTTCTGTTTCTATTCTTCTCTCATCCAATTAAGCAAATAAAAATGACTTCCTCTATTGTATTGTGACTAAAATGCAACACAAATGCAAGTTACTTATCAAGGCCCCCGTTTAGTTTTCCAGTATCCTTCCCCCCCCCTTTTCGGTTCACATAAGCGGGGCCTCGTTCGTAGCGCCTGAGGCGACCGATGGCTGATGACGTCACTCAGTGGAAATTTCCCAGCCGCCGGTCGTTCACCCAGCACGCGCAAATGGCAATGCCGCTTTTCCCTAAGTTACTCCCACATTTTTAAAGATTACGCAAAAACCGCTGAACACAGAAGCATGAAATTTTAAGGGAATAAAGAAAAATGGTATACAACATATCAGTCAGTTTGACAAATCACAGCTCCGAAAAATTTTCAAAGCGCACAATATCAACCAATTTCGCAAACGTTTTCGACTGCTTCTTGGATGGGTACAAAGTTGTCAAACTGCATACTACGAGATTGACCTCTTTTCTGATTGGCGGCCAAGTTTCATTCATATCCATTTACGAAGAAGCGGCGTGACAGCGAGTTGAAGACGACAACCTTTGCGTTAGTTCGTCCCACGAAACACCCCCGCGGCGGGGGCCAAAAATTGGCAGAACAAAACACGCTCGGTGGGCACTAAATATCTCAAATTATAACCAAAAAATCTCGAAAACGGAAACCATGGGTGCCAGTGAAAAATTTTTCCAGCCCTGAAAACCCATATCCAAAATTTTCCCAACCCTGAAATAAAAAAAAAAAAGAAAACTCTTCCTTCCTTGTCGTCTGTATGTTGCTTGTTGAACCATTTAGTCGCCTTTTACGATGCATGCTAGGGTCCTGCAGTGGATACCATTCTTACTCCTTATCCACAAGGAGGCAGAGTCCAAGCTCACACTTTCTTAAAGAAGGCAGTTATGTTGGTGGTTTTAGTTTTTTTATATATTTTTTTTAAAGAGTCTTGGAGATTGCTGACTAAGGCAAAAGAAGCTTGAAATTTTAAGGGAATAAAGAAAAATGGTGTACAACGTATCAGTCAGTTTGACAAATCACAGCTCCGAAAAATCTTCAAAGCGCACCACATCAACCACTTTCGCAAACGTTTTCGACTGCTTCTAGGATGGGTACAATGTTGTCAAACTGCATACTACGAGATTGACCTCTTTTCTAATTGGCTGCCAAGTTTCATTCATATCCATTCACGAGAAGCGGCGTGAGAGCGAGTTGAAGACAACAACCTTTGCGTTAGTGCGTCCCATGAAACACCCCCGCTGCGGGGGCCAAAAATCAGCAGAACAAAACGCGTTCGGTGGGCATTGCTACATTATAAGTTTCGTAATTTTTATCTAAGTGGCTGCGTACGGCCTTCCCGTACGCATGCATAGCATCGAGGCTATGTGTACCGCCCTCCACTTCACATTATAAGCTAGGCTTTGTAGGCGGCACACAAACTATCAAACCGAACACTACAAGTGGACAAACTTAAACCCTGGAAGCACGAAGGCCTTTTATAAAGGGCGTGGGCCGGGCTACCCGGGAAGCGCGCAGGCCCTATATATAGGGATGACCTACTTCGATTGGAAAGCGCACAGCTATAATGGGCATAGACGCTGACCTTTTTTCAATGGAAAATTTCAGCATTCCTTATAAAATGACGTAGTAAATTACAGGTCAAAGTTATGAGTAACCAATGACTTTGCAAGTTATCTTGTCCTCGTAGAGTGTCTCTTGGCCAAATATCATATAGATCGGTAAATTTTTACTTTCACTCCCGCACACAGGCACTGCTTCAGGGGTCAAACTGCAGTACTGTTTGCTGCAGATCACACCACTAAAACTGTTGCAAATCAATTATTTTCAAGAAAATTTCAAATCTAAATGAAAATATCAAATTATGGGTTAAAACAGGGGGCCCCCCCTGTAACCCCCCAGATTTTCTTTTACCTCAGGGGGGCAGACCCCCCTGGAACCCCCCGATTGGTCCAAAGCACGTCTATCTCGATTAAGAACAATCAAATATTTCAAAAACTATTAATTTGCAACGGAAATGAAGTTGATATTCGTATTCAGCGCATCAATATTTAATATTTAGTAGAAAATGGACAACTGGTAGAAGTGTGAGATGGGAGGGAAAGTAACAAAATGCCTGGCCTATAGAATAGATCTAACAAAATAGTTCACTCAGCCAAAAAGGTGTCCGTGGAAGTCCGCACATTGGTTCAGATGACCCTGCAGTCTTTGTTTTGAAGCTCTCCTTCGTTTCACCAGCGGTCCAGCTGAGCGATTTCCAAGGCCGTATATTACTTCTATAACAATATCTAAATCTAAGGGCCGTACGCATAAGGGCAGTACGCATAGCCCAGGAGGGAGGGCCGTATGATAGCTGAGGCTATGTGTATGACTATCCATAGTATGGCCCTATGGGAGGACAGTACATTACATAGCTCTAGCAACAGTCAGGCAGTGAAAATGGACTCGGTAGATCAGAAGCTACGGGAGGGAAAGTAAAAGATTCGAAGTGATTATTCGGACTTGAGTCCGAATATGAAAATTTTTTATTCGGACTCTGATTCTTGCCCAGCATGACATCACTTCCGACTTCCTGTGACTCGTGACTCCGGCTTTCTGTCCTGCCTCACTCGTGACTCGCCTCAGGCTGGGTAGAGACCGGGATTACTTCGGGCAAAAAGGCGTTTTTTGTGCAGGAGCCGAGTTGTAAATCTTATGATGAATTTGAGGCCGGCCTGAAAAGTTATAGCGCTTCTAATAAAAGTTTTTATAATTTGTCAAGAGATCATCCGAAGCAATTAAAGATGGCTCATTAGCGTGTGTCGGGGTCGGATGGGCGGCCTGCACCCGTGTGGCTGTGTGCGTGTCAGGGAGGGGGGGGGGCACTACCGGTCCGGGCGTTGAACGTCGCATACGCGTCAGTCTTTTTCCCCCTGGCAACTGATCATTATTACAATAATAAGCTAATCTTGACGTAGATCTACGTAATGAATTGTGCGCTGGTCTATGGAATCAAAAGTTGCCGTATGCTCAGCTCTACACAGCAACACAACTTTTTCTTGGTAAACAATCGAGATGACACAGGCTTGTGTATATTTGAACGAATCGGTCTTTTTTTTTTACACAGCTCATAATATGCAGGTGCCAGGTGGTCTGCTAATCTTCAATTTTACCTTTTTCTACAACAAAGAAACTGGGAAACATGGGGGGTGGGGGGGGGGGCGTATCAATGAGGCGGCGGGCATCGGATCGGCAAGGTGTGGGGGAAACTAAAAAATGTAGGAAAATTGGAAGCACTGAACGTTAGATCTATAGAACGAAGACACTTCCTTTTTTCCGGACCCGAGTCCGAATAACATTTTTTCATATTCGGACTGAAGTCCGAATAAAAAAAATTTTCGGACTCGAGTCCGAATAACGACGGCCTGCCCTAAAAGATTACCAACTTAAGACTAAAGACGAAGGTAGAAGGTACTAAATCAAAGGCTTGTACTTTGTGCTTACGACTAATGAAAACTAACCTGCCCCCGGAGCCACCACTTTTTCCTGACGACGAGTAGGCATTTCCCGACTGAATACGGGAAAATATCCGGCGGCCACTGGGCATTACAACTGTCTGTGAATGTTAATACCCGTACACAGTAATATTTTTCTCAACTTCAAAATCAATAGCTCTAGACTCTAGATCTAGATTTATCGCCTCAAAATCCAGGGTTCAAAAATCCGAATTCATCTTTCCTAATTTAGATCTATACACCTCTGGTTTCAAGCATTCTTCGCAATATTATGTTGCACTATTGGCTATTGCACTTTCTTTGCTTCAAGTCTTTTGATATATAGCATCAGGATCGATTAATTTGTACTGCACCGTCAACAAATCTTATCGAGTAATAGTTACAGCTATCGATGCAAAATCTGGTGACCAGCTGTAACAAAGAAAACGAACAACGAAAAATAGTCTCGAAAGTGAAAGTAGCTCAGGCTACGTTGACGTATTGTGTGACGTTTTAAGCTTGGTAAGCCTACCAAAGCTTATAAAAAGAGGTGGCTGGCCACAATCACACGACACAAGTGCAATGTATTAGATCTATGACATAGCCCTACATTCTAACGTAGCCTAGACTACAGTTGGTACCTGGAGAATAGGCCAGGGCCAGGTCACATATTGAGTCATTGAGTTTTATTTCGAGACCAAATCTACGCCAAAGTAAGTAGATTCTATACATCTAGATCTAGATCTCTAGAATGTAGGAGGTCAAACTAATAGTATAGTATCTAGATATAGATCTATAAATCTAGATAGAATCTAGATATCTAGATTTATCTGGAGTCTAGATCTAGATTCTATATTATATAAGATATAAGATAAATTCAGAGAGTCGGAGATAAATGCTTTTGACTTTGGCAACGCAATTTAATTTGAAAAGACGAATTATTTATAGCCTGAAGTAAAGGCCTGCATAGTATACCTTTCACAGGTCAGATTCACCTGATCTGTCTTCTCATATGCCACCCACAGTGGAAGCAATGTTGCATTCTAAGCCTGGTTCCCTACAGCATATGAAACAGTATAATGTAGACAGTCTGACATGACGAAAAATAAAAATTAAAACGAAGTGACTATTTCTCTGAACGTTTGGGAAAATAAAGTTGAACTCTATTTCTCCGAACGGTTTCCGATCTTGAGATTTTTTTGGTTATTTGCGAGATTTAGGCGTCATCCTGTCATTCTGCCATTTGCGAGGACTGGGAAGTAGAAGCATTTTTTTACATCAAATTCAATTTCTAGAGCTAGAAGAGATTTTTTTATAAATGTCTGAAGATACTTCAGTTGTGGTTAGGGCAACGTTCCCGGACTATACTTCATTTGAAAGTACCTTCAGAAGGTACTGCGAGAAAACAAGACTGCTCGACCTTGGCAGTAACCTGTTTTGCATTTAATCTTACTTACTTTTTTACTTTTTTCTTCCGCTTGTACCCTGGGGTGTCGCGGGGAGACACAGGTGTCTGTCTGCAGCAAGTCGTGTGGCCTGTAGGAGGGACATCCCATGATCTTTAAGGGTGTCTGCCACAGATTCACTCCATCGTCGCCTTGGTCTTCCTCTGGCTCTCCATCCAGAATATTTAATGTTGTATGCTCTCAGTCTCAGAGCTGGATGGTTTGAGGGCATCCGCGTGAGGTGTCCGAACCACTTGACCTTTTGTTTTTCAATGTGTGGTAGGACTGGTGTTGCTCCCACGGTGTCCCTTATGACTTCATTTTTAATTTTGTCTCTTCTTGTTTTGTTGACCGCTCTCCTTAAGCATTTCATCTCACATGTGACCAGTTTCCTCTGCATTTAGTCATCCAGCAAAATCTAAAATCTTTCATGTAAAAAAAAATCCCCCCCCCCCCCCCCTACCCGTTCACACCTTACACACACAATGCACACTCACACACACATGCACACACACACACACTCACACATGGGCATTCCATTCGCATCAACTTATCTCGAGAACGGAAACCGTTTGGAGAAATAGAGTTCAAGTTTATTTTCCCGAACGTTCAGAGAAATAGAGGCGGCCTAAATAAAAACGGAAGAAAGTTTCTGCGGAGTGGAAACAGAACTATAGATCTATTGAAGGAATAGTGCGAGCAAGGCCAGGATTACCTCCACACAAACCCGCTCAAGAAGATGACAGACAGAAAGTTGTCAACTACAGTACAGTGGAGTCCACTTATAACGAGTCCGGAAAAAACGAGAAGTCTGTTATAAAGACACTGTTCTAAAACCCCGTTTTTTTCTCCTCTTTACCTTTGTAAATAAAATACTGCTATACCGCTATCAGACAAACATGCAAGTCGGTTATAATTATAGCGGAATATTGCTGCTGCTGTGCACAGTGCATAGGCCAATTATAATGCAAAACCTCGCCAGTTGAGAAACTTGTTGGTGATCTAGCGAAACAAAGAATAGGAGAGCCCATGTGTGTCAACAATAAAGGCCGGAGTGACTGAGTAGGGAGGGTTTGACATGCGCAGACAAGCAGAGCGCCTCGCATGATAAGCCAGCGTAAGCCTAGTTTAGATTATCGAGGCCTACCATGCCTCTCACTTCTCCGATGCGGGCATGGAGAGGTCACAGCAATGTGATGGATGGAGCGAATGTGTGACATGCGCGAGCAGACAGAATGCACCACAGGGTGGGATGGGGTGGGGGAAAACACAACGGGCGAGTTAGCCCAGAGCCCTTTCTTTCTGATCGCCAAAGCCGAGCTGCCAGTCCACATTGCTAGATCTAGCGCTAGATAAACCTGATTCGAATTTTGATCAAGTAAGACCTAAAGGTCATGTTGAAACAAAATCATCATCGGGGGAGATAGCAAAAGGAAATAAACAGAACACCAAACTCATAGATTAGGCCTACTTTACAGTTTTCCTTGAATTTATTGCTGGACTCCTTATAGCGAGAATCCTGCTATAATGGACATTTTGCTCCGGTCCCCACCCTCTCATTATAACAGGATTCCACTGTATATAATATAAATCTGGTCCCTGTCCTTGGAAGGAAAATCAGCACACTTCAAAGGCTTGGTGACGTGGCAAATACCCAAATGGAATAGAGTCCTGGGCACCTCTAGACATGAATGGATTATGAAGTTTCTTATGGTAAAAAATGCCAGAAATTCCCAGTATGCAAAAATATGTTCTTCAGGACAACAGCTCTTGGTGAATGGTAGTAAGGAACAACATTGTCATTAATGGATACACTTTTGTCGTTAATGAAATTGCCAGCACAGAGCATTGTTCTGACACTGCCGAGGCAACCCTCACTACAAGAAAGTATCTGAGCAGAAAACATTTCTTATAGAAGGTTTCTTTGCAAAGCTGCCCAAAGTGACTTCTCGTCATTGTCGAAAACAAATAGGAAAATTTTGTATAGAGCAAACTGTCTCTTAATGCATAAATGTGATCTGTGTGTGGGTCACACTGCTGAAAAAGTCAGTGATGAGGTTTGGAAGCGTCCAAGAGAAGGAAAACCACTAGGTAACGCCGAAAAGAACAACGGAAAAAAGCTGGCTGCAGCAAGCAACAGTAAAAATCTGTGTAATCGCAATGGGCCTTCAGTCTGTCCTCCTGGTGCCTTGTCTACAAAGTTGAGCGTTTTATTATAAAATTAAATTGTTCGTGCACATCAGTACAAATGTTAACTCGGTGACAATGGATGTATTTTTGCTACATTTGGTGTGAAGAGGAGGGACAGTTGTTGGATAACAAGTTTTCGTTGTGTATCATTGACTGTCTTCAGACAAAAGTCAAGTGTGAAACATTGAATCTATTCAGACGGCTGCAGTTACCAAAATAGAAATGCTGTGTTGTCAAATGCCCTCATAAACTTCTGCTCAAATCAAGGTATAACAACTGAGTAGACGTATAAATGTCGTGAAAGGGAAGCTGTACACGTAGATCGATTTTGTTGAGGCCATTTACCAAAAAGCCTTGAAATACACAATAATTTCTGTTCAAATAATAAATAATAATAAATAGCATTTGTATTGCGCATATCCCCGCTCAACAGCAGGCTCTATGCTCTTTACACTATATTATTACCCCAGCAGACCATAGAACACTCCGAAACATTCTCAGCTTCCCGGGAAGCATACAGTGCAAGCAGCTGATTAAGCGCTCAAACACTAACAAACTGACAAGATCTTTCGCTGTCTATAGCTGGGTTCCCATTCCCACCTGGGTGAAGTGAGGAAAATTCGTGTAAAGTGCCTTTCCCAAGGACACAACGTCGGGTCCCTGATGGGATTCGAACCCACGACCTTACGGTTGCGAGTCCGAGAGCCTAACCACTAGGCCACCGACACCACAAATGAACTATGCACTCATTTTTTCAAGGCGAGAGTGAGTGGATTACCTTACAAAAGTCTTTTATAATCTCAACCATGAAGTCTTCAAGGATTTCACAAAGTCTGGCCCTTGGAAGTCCATCAGACCTGAAGGGTCCAAAAGCAACCATGTCGTACAGACATTTGTATTCTTCAGATGGCAGGATAGAATGCAAAATTGAATAGGCTGATTCATGGGACAAGTTTGAACCCCCCCCCCCCCCGAAAAAACAAACAAACAAAACAAACAAACAAACAAACAAACAAAAAAGCAAAGCACACACACAAACAACAAAAAATAAAACAAACAAAAACCAAGAGGCAACGATGCAATGATCACTGAAGAACCAACTTTTTTGTACACAATAACTTATAAGCCTCTGTTGATGACATAATTATATTATTGCATATGTACTTTATTATTTAATTTGACACTGCTGACAACAATATAAATATTTTTAATAAAATTTCAATTCCCGATGCTCTGAAAAGTTTGTATGTAAAATGCGTAAATAAGAAAATGCACTGATGCACATGGACATGAAGAGTCAAACAACTTACATGCGTCATCCAGCCTCCTTATTCTGGAAAAGGCCAACCAATCCTAGCACTTTTCTCTTGTCTCTAATAGCGTTTTAATTATGGCCCGGCTGGGAATCCTACCCTACCCTGAAAGAATCTCCCTGTTCTCACTTTTTTTGTCTTGGCCACTACCTACATATATAAAAATACAAGTTCGGTCTTTCTGTTGTGAGAAAATATTGTGGCTTAAGAAATTCACTCTACCTGCATTTCACACTGATCAAACCTCGTAAATGACATATAGTCGTCCCTTACGAGGTTTGATCACTACCATGACAGTGTAATCATTTCTCGTAAGCGCCATAACGTAGGAAAATCAATATTTGTTCTTAAAAAGTAACTAACTCTCATTTAGTAACATTGTTTTGAATGGTTTTGTACAAAATTGAAGAGGTTTGATAAAGTAGTTTTGACATAGATCCGTTTTTTTCCTTCTCCTGGAAAATTCTCTCTCTGGCACTTACGAGGTCTGATCACAGGGGCATCGAAGGTAAATGCAGGGTGGTAATTTGTTCATATATTCATGAATTAACCTAACTCTTCACATCTGTGATATTGCTTTCCCTGCTGTTAAGCAGGAATTGACTTCTGGTAATGATATTACACTGTTTATGGAGGGCCAATCATTATGAACTCAATCATTTTAAAGGCTTCAGATTAACACTGACTTTATAAAGTTTAGTGTGAAATAGTGTGTAATATCATTCATTATCATAATCATATAGGCCGCCTATATTATAATTATAATCTACATAATTTGGTATAATTAGAGAGGTGATTGAACCTTTCCTCATTCTTCCCACCAGTATTTGTAGTGGAATTTTTAGTAATTTAATAATATGACTCCCATGATAAAAGACTTATTGTTGTTCTATCATGCATCTCACTCTTTAGGTCTAATTCTATAGAGCATCTGAATTCTGATGATTCAGGTGAACTGACAAAATCATCAGTCTTTTAACAGTATAAAAGCTTTGCCTAGATCACCAAGTGCCACGACAGCGTGTCAGTTGGGTAGAACAATAACAATATTATTAGGGTGGTTTTTATTTTTATGAATCTATAGTGAGTGTATTGATGCAAAGAACGAGAACAATTTTAAGACCAGACGCACAATTAAATCACCTGTCACCTTGGCGTGTCCATCCATATAGTTAGTACCTACATCTTGCTGCAGCAGATTGTCATCTGCCCTGGTCTCTTCTTTGATGAACTACTTCATAAAGTTGTTGACCATTGTCAGCTTCCACATTGCCAAGCCTCGACTTTTCCCTTGCAGCACAGTTGTCATCAGGTCTGTTTTGTACACACATATTATAAATTGTGACTATGTACTTCACCTTCAAGTTCTGTCAGGACACTTTCATTCGTTTCTTTTTTTTTTCTTTCTTTCTTTTTAAAAAATTTTTGCTGCTTATTTTAATGAAATAGTTTGCTGTTTGGATTCTATTTTTGCCATCCTTTCCATTAATCCCATGCAAAACAGCTGCGGGGATGTCAGATTGATACATTTCAGAATTTTGATTTCCAATCTTCAGGTGGTACTCCGTCTTTCCCGGCGATATAATTTAGGTGTACCATCCTCTCCATAATCTGCATTTAACATCTTTAGTGCATATATTCCGTCAGATACTTACATTGAGCACATGGACAGGATCAAAATGGCATAGTTACAAAGAAACCAACCCATAATATAAAATATTTTTTGTGTGATTTTCTTTCTGTTGGTGCTGTGCTTTAATTGTTGGAGCAAATTTACAAAAATTTGATAAATGGAAGGAATTGAAAATGGCTTGCCTTACTCTTTCACCTATCAACATGGACTTTTTAAAGAGTTCAAAATGTTACAGTAAAGAGGATTCTAAACCAAACGTTTGATACCTGCTAGAGAAAAATAATTTTAGACTGACACATTTTTCTACATGCTTCATCTTCCCTGTCCCGGCTATAACTCTTTAGCAACAATTAATTAAGCCTATTGCTTCCCCAGTCTGGTTAGTTTTATTGTAATTTCCCCCCTGTGCGTTGGTTTCTCAGAGTAAGATAGCTTGTCATCCTAAAACTGTTGTGTATGAGTTTATATTTATAAACTGACTATATCAAGTTTTAGTTATAAAAATGGTGCTCAACCTGCAATACTGTTAACAGTGAATTTTGTGAAAATATTATTTGCCCTCTTCATGTGTTTGGAAGCTATTTTGTTCTGATATATAATATATGTATTATTTATGTATTCTGTTCTGAACAGGTTCAACTTTAAATTAAAAAAATAAAAGTAGTGTTGTGAAGATGTCGGCTCTGGATAAAGTGTTCACCGAGCTTAATCGAAAGGAGTTGAAAGAAAAGGGCTACACAGTTGTAAGAGGCGTGTTTCCCAGAGAGGTGTGTGATGAGTATCAGGGTGCGTATCGTGACTGGCTGAACGGATTCCCAGAAGGTACCTGGCCTCAGACCAAACACTCCCTCATTCAAAAGTACAGTGTTGGTCATATGAGCACCTCCTGGGATATCAGGCTTAAGTGCTATCCTGTCTTTTCTCAGGTTTGTTTCTGAGTTTAAAAATGTTGTTTTTTATATGAGTTTGTTTTGTTTGTTTCATTCTTACCAGTTTTTCAATCAAATAGAGGCTTTCAACAATTTGAGGAAAAAGTTTAAAATGCTCTCTGTCCCTTAGTTTTAAATTTTGTGTTAATATAGGCTTTCTGAGATGGCTTTGATACCTATTACTGAGACGTACATGTCATTTTTTTAATAGTGTTTAGAATTTAGAACTGTTCATGGAACAGGATGTCACATCTAATGAGCACTGGTCTCATGTTAAATTACTGTATTACTGTGTTTCAAATTAAATGAGTTGTAAGGTAAAATGCTAGGTGAAAATTAACTTCAGGCTTGTGATGTAAATAACAGAGTAAAACAAACGTTTGATTAAACTCACCAAAAAATGTTTGAATTGAGAGTTACGTTGGTCTTAGCATAGAGTACTGTTGTTGAAGTTGATGTTTATGGTCCTGTAGATCTTTTGAAAGTGGTTCACTTGGTCCAAAGTCAGATCCAGGGGTGAGAGGAATATAAATATTACTGGGAGAATGAGAAAAGTAATTCAAACCCAGCTCAGGTTTGGATGTCCCCTTGACTGATCAAGTTTGTTTCCTCATATATACCAGGGCATTTGGCAAATATTTAAATGAAAGGGGGATACAATAGAAAGACAAAATAGTGCTGTTACATTTCCAGTTATAAATTGAAAAGACAAAATTAACCAATTTACATGTACACGCATGCTCGCAAACACACACATATTAAGCTTGTTTGTGCTGGAAAGATAAAATTTGTAAATTAACAAATGTTTTGTTTTTTTCTAACCATCACAGTTGTGGAAAACAGAAAAGTTGCTGTCGAGTATTGATGCTATTGCTGTAGGAAGGCCTCCTGAAGAAAATGAGGAAATATTTTGGGCTCCTGGCCAGTCATGGCTGCATGTTGACCAGCCGGCCTACAGACTAGGACTCCATGCATATCAAGGGGCAGTCTACCTGGAAGATTGTGAAGAAGAGGACTGGACTTTTGAAGTTGTTGAGGGTTCGCATAAACATTTTGATGATCTTCACAACAGAATTGGTCAAAAACGCTGCACCAAACTGACTCCTGAGGATTTAGAATGGCTGACAGAGAAAGGTTGTAGGCTTACAAGAGTTCCGTGCCCAAAGGGGGGTATGGTGTTGTGGGATTCGAGACTCCTGCATGCTAATGCACGTCCTATAGAAGGCAGGAGAAACCCAGGTCGTTGGAGGTGGGTCGTCTTCGTGTGTATGACTCCAGCAGTTTGGGCAAAAAAATTAGATCTGAAGTTGAAGAAACAAGCTTATGAAAATCTACAGCTTACGTGCCATTGGCCGTCAAGAGGCGTCTTTATTTTCTCCTCAAAACTTGAAGAAGGTATGACAGAGGATCCGAACCCACTCAACACACTCCCGGAAATAGCTACTCGTGATACGGCAAAGAGACTTATGGGCCTGTTGCCTTATGAAGGGGATAATAATAAATCTGTTCATACTTTGGAGTTTGATGCTGAAAAATTTAAGGATCAAATGACAGACAATGACAGGAAACTTTTAGAAGAAAATGACGAAGATTGTGAGCTTCCCCCTCCCTATGAGCCTTTCAGTCATCTGGTTATTCCAACCTCTCGAGCATAACAAATTTGTATTTCTATTTTTACATTCCTGAAGTTGTAGTCATTAAAAAAATGTCTTGGAGGCAACTTTGGGATATTTTTCTTAACCCTTTGTCTCCATTTTTTTTTTCCACCCTTGGACGGAATATACTTGTATAGTGGGCTATAATTTCTCCTTAAATTAAGCTACAGCAGTGTTTTATACCTCATAAAAAATGGAAATGAATGTAAAGTCAGCGTAAGTAAAATGCGTGGCCAAAATATCAAATTGTAATTCATTGCAATAATACAAACTGAACGGAAAACATTGTAAAACAATAATATCAAATTTGCGAAACATCAACAAAAAGAAATATATATATATTTATTATATAGATCTATATATAAATTACTATGGAATGTTTTTATGTGTAGTTTATTCAATCTACTTACATTTTTGAATGCGTATTTTTCATTGTAAAAAGATAATTTTTCGCAAAGTTACCACCTTTTTTGGACAGTCAGCTAAGCTTGGAAGTTGTTACCCAGCAGCCACAGACTGGAACAATGCCCTATTAAAAAACATCTCTTTTCATTTAAACTATCATTAAACTAATTGAACAGACCCACATAAGGAGAAAACCTAACATCTATGCATAGAATACTAGTCGTACTATGAATGTATTGGGTGATTTTTTTGTGTTTATTTGGAAGTAAACTATGGTGTTCTCATCGGCTAGTGGCACAAGCCACTTGTCCTAATGTGGCCATCTCACTAACTGGTTCCACGGGCCACTCTGAGACAATGGATTAAGACCCCAATCTGTTTCATTTCATTCTGTTTTAAATGTTGCACTGGTTACATTTTCAAAGAAATTTAAGAATAAAATCTCTTAAGACTTTACTCAGAGTTATACTTACTACACAAGAATTTTATTACCTAATTTGTTATTTTATAATATGTATTACATGTGCCATATTTTCATAAGCTGCTGTTCTTGCATGGTCCTCAAACTGGGATAGAAAGTCTTGCAATTTTACTCATGGCTTGTTGAAGTTCTGGCACCAAATTGGGACCCTCGTTGTTCATTTTTTGTTAAAAAGCATCAAATAGTTTGGCTAATTCAATTGAATTGTCAAATTTTTAAATATTGGTAACCTCTTCTTTTACTAAGGGACGAGGAGAATTAAGTGAGTTTGTAGATTTGTTATAGTGTGGTTTGATACAATGGTGCTGAATACATCTACTACATGGTATGTATAGTGTATGGTGGCCTTTGTAATGTTTATTCTGAACCAGTAATGTCCAGAAGCCAAGAAAAATTGGTTGTTTTTTGTTTGTCTTTTAGATGTTTAACAAGGGGGGGGGGGGTGTTCTGTATTTAAAATGATAAACATGAGGATGAAAATGATGGCTGATGTGACATATTTTTGTGATTTTAAGCTTTAACAAAGACAGAAAATACAAAAGTATTTTTCTATGTGCATGTATGTAAATTTAAAGTAAGAAATCATGTATTTCCACATGTGTTGATGTATTTCTGAACTAATTTCACTAAGCAGAAGGTTTTAGAGTTTTTAAAAGACATAAATTATAAAGTAGCCCCAAAATTATGTTTATGTTAAAGTTGAAAACATTTTTTGGGTATCAAATTTTTAGCTCAAGATAAGGATAAAAGTATTGTATGCAAAACATATAAAGTTGACCTGTAGTTCTATGTCATTTGAACTTAGAAGTTGAAGGATAAAGACTGGAGATCTTTAAGATTTTTATTATTTTTCTTGTGGCTTGCTTGGACATAGCTGTAACTTGTTTGTTTTTTCTGACATTCCAAATTTGCAGGAGATTCAAGTTGTGATAATCAAAATGTAATGTAGCGACGTATTTTTACTCTTGATGTTTCTACTATTTGCATGTTGATGTGATGTAAGCCTACCTCCCTTTATTCCCAATGGACTGATGTATGCTGATAGTGACAGATGTGATGGTTAATAGGTTCTTTACCCTGCACGCAAAAGATGAGTATTCAGTTTCTGTGCGGAGGAGCCTATTTTAATCTTATCAACCATCTCAGTCTTTCTGCTGGGATACTGTATCATCTGTGCCAGGGTTGATCCCTACATGCGAGGTCAAAACAACCTGCTTCCTAAATTATCTCATGAGTTATGTTGACAGAGACGGTAAACAGTAAAATCATTTCTCCGCAGGGTTCTGAGAAATTTTCTGTCTTTTTGGTTTTATATCTCAGAGAAATTTATTTAAGAGGAGTAAATGCATGTTATTGATTATTTAACTTATTTTTATACCTACTTTAAGTTTTACTCCTATGTAATATAATATTAATGTTCAACCCCTAAAGAGACCCTAAACGATGCAACAGGATATAGGAAATCAAACATTATTATATCATTGCACTTTTTTTTAAAGCAACTGGCATTTTTGCCTGTATTATGCACTATCATCATTAACATCATCCTCATCAAGCGCCTGATCTAGGACAGACAATTCCTTTGTTGATGCTCTCAAAAAAGCTACATTATCCTGATCTTTCCCAGTTACCCATCTATTAAGATCCTCCAAGTAGGTTGCTCTGTGTCAACAACTACCCCTGCCTCCTGTAGCCTTCAATTTTGTCAGTGAAAGCTACATGTTCAAGGCCTTTATGTTTCTTCAAGTGTCCCTGAAACTGCATTTTTTGGTCTTTTCCTGATTGTTTTAATCATTGAGCGGCCTGCGTGGCTTCTTCATCAGGTGCATTTTGTACTACTTTGTTTGATTTCTTTTCCTTGCCATCATCTCAGAGCCATAAATGAAATGTGGAACAATGCAGCCCTTAAACTGTTGTGTCTAGTGCTGAAATTGGTGTGGTTCACTCCTACTTCCTACTTCAATAGAAACTTTGAAGTAATGTTATAAATATTATGATCGCAATTTTACTAAATCGGAATGTTGTTTTATTTCAGTATTATAACTGAAGTACAATGAATGTCCGTTGATTGGCTTTTGTCAGGTTAAGAAATGGATAAAGTGCAAAAATTAAGGAGATGATGATTTGATTGAGTTTCGGCCATTTTTAATTCCAGCCTATGATTGTGTTCTCTATATATATAATCTAATGTTCTAATCATGTTACTGAGTTCTTGAAAAACGTTCAGCTTGCAAAGAAAACCTCTCACTAATTGATGAGAAAGTAAAGGTTAGCCCTCACTATTGTACTTACAAAGACTATATTTCAGATGAGATACATTGACTTTAGCAATGGTTTTAGAAACAAAAAAATGTAAAACCTAGCCTATTTCTTTCACTACTTTCAGTTAAATGGTTAAGGCATTATATGTATAAATGTCCAATCTTGAAAATGGGGTCGGGTCAGGGACCGCAGCTATGGTCTGTCAGCGACCTTATAAAATTTATAATAGAGATAGCTTTGAATTTAATGTGAAGTTGAATAGAGTAGCAATAACGATGATGTAGAAAGATTTGTGTTGTCGTTATAAATATCATATATGAGTCATAATAATAAAAGAAAAAGAACAAAACTTTAATTGTTATTTTCTAATGGAGTAAGACTTCGTCCCCTCTTTGATTCATATTGTATGTAGTTTTTCTATTTTTTGGCACTGCAGTGGGTAAGATCAACCTTAAGTGGTGTTAATGTTCGTTATTGGGATTTGTTTGCTTTAGTGCTATACTATATGCTACTGGGTCGCCAATTACTGTTAATGATTTCTTGATTAATTTGTGGAATAAGTAGTCCTAGTGAACTTATTGTATGTCTCTGTTGAATTATGTTGATTATTATATACCGGGTGCTTTGACTTTTTGAATTATATTTTTTATTATATCATACACTATCTCTACTGTGCACAAACTGTATAATACATTTACGGGTAGAGATGAAAAATAAACAGAAATTATATATCCTTTCCTCAATAAATGAAAATCATGTTGATTTTTTTTTCATTCTTTTTAAACACGTTACAAATTTAATTAATTAACGGGAGAAGCGACTCGAGATCTCGATTTTGCTGATTTTGGGTCAAGCTATGCAAATTGAGATGTTGGCTGATTTTTTAAGGTCAACCAATTCTTTGTCTAGGAATAGCATGGAGACGATTGAGAAAATTATTATTCCAGTCGTAAATTTATATATGTATCTATACTATACATTGAGAAAATTCTCTTTTTTTTTTTCTTTTACACCTTTTAAAAAGTACTCCTTGTTACAATAACAGTGATTGGTTGGATATACTTACACTAAATTTGGTCCAAAATTAAGGGGGGGGGGGGGGGGGGGCAACACCCTAAAAAACCCAATTCTTTGAGTTGTAGGCATATTTAGCTTCTTCAGCCTCTCTTACAACTATTTTATAGCATTAGAACCCCCTAAAGCCTTATTTATTCCCATACTGGGAATGTTTGTCACCACCTTTTCCTCATGAAGTCAATCTTTTACTTTAATTTTCTTTTTATCGCCCCGTTTTCTCAAAAAACGGTTTTTCTATAAAGTTTTTAAAATAACTGCACCGTTTAAGTTTTTCATTCCATGTTCATTAAATTTAAACAGATTGAAGAGAAGATGTAATATAAAAAATTGCTCTCTTGAATTTTTTTTATATGGAACGGTTTTTTGTTGGTGGTGTCTCGAGTGTGGGCTTTCACAGATTTTTTGCAAACTTGAATGCTACCTCAGAAAAAAATTCATAAAAATGTTCCTAATCCGTTTAGGAAAAATTCAAGAGACAAATTTGTAGATCTAATGTTTGTTGACATGCATTCAAAATTAACAATCTATTTCCATGAAGAAAAAGTGTGGTATTCATTACGTTAGACGTGTCAATATAATCCAACATGGCCGCCGTAGCCATTGACACGAAACTGTTTTCTCTGCGGATTTTAAGACTCCTGTCTATGCTTAATGTCATGTGTGTGAAATTTGGTAAAATTTGTTCCACTAATAAGCGAGATAGCCTTCAGGTGTAGCCCCCCCCCCCAACAAAGCCTTCAGAATTTGAAATTTTTTGTTTATTTTCGAGATGGCGGCCGTTTCCATAGCATTTCTGGTAGCTGTGCAAAAATAAAAGTTCGTATCAAGAGATTGTTCTATGCCTAACTTACTTACATGTGTACTTAGATTTGATCTCGGGCGCTCCTCCTGTTAATTTTAGTATAATTTATGAAAAATTACCATCATCATCATCATCATCATCATTATCACCATTCGCTCTCCCTCTCCCTCTCTCTCTCTCTCTCTCTCTCTCTCTCTCTCTCTCTCTCTCTCTCTCTCTCTCTCTCTCTCTCTCTCTCTCTCTCTCTTTCTCTCTCTCTATCTTCCACGCCCCCTTCCCCCCCCTCTCTCTCTCTCGCACGCACACACACACACACTTACGCACACACACACTCACAAGCATAGTGCACAAACACAGACATATGCACTCATGTTCACACCCATCCACGCATAGATTCATGATGCTTGGTGCCTAGTGATTCGTGTTAATCTATTTGTTTGTTTTTGTAAGGTGTTTTACGGCGCTCGCAACTGCATAGGTCATATGAGCGCGCGGGACACACCTAATATTTTCAGTTGGTAGGAAATTTTGAATTTTGCCCGTGTGGCGGCCGAAGCCTACTCTTATCGATTTTAGACCACCAAGGGATCTTTAACGTGCGCAACTTGCACACGGGCCCTCCGAGATTTTTCGCCCTTGTCCGAGAAGGCTAGGTGTAGATCTTTCCTACCAGAAGATCAGGGGTGTGGCAGAAAGACAGCAGTAAGGAGGAGCCAAGGAGTAGCAGTAGAAAGGCTGCAGAAAGCGTCAGGAGCCCAGAGGAGGGGGCAAAGGAGGTGAGGGGTGGGGGCAGAAAGTGGAAATGAAAGCAGACAACAGAACATTGCTAGAGAGCAGGAAAGGAGGTGAAAGGAGACAATTTTAGAGAAGAAAATTTTTCGGTCGCTACCCGGATTCGAACCCGGGACCTTTGAATGAGAGGCCAACACCTTAACCCCTAGGCCACGAGAGCCCCCGTTTATCTATGCGGGGCCTTTCATTTCTCCAGCGACAATAACAATAGTCTAATATTATAATGAACGTTATGAACTCGTCAAAAGCTTCAAATTTTATTCAACATCTCTGAAACACCCGCATTAGTTCACGGTGCTTATTAAAGCCAGATGACGTTTACAGTAAAATACAAATCCACGGGGTCTAGTCCTCAAAGTTGAAACCACAAAAGCAATATTATTGTAATAGCATTATCTGTTATAATATATTCGTCAATCAACAAGTTGAAAGCTTTGACCTTTTTTTTATTGAACACCTCTGGGACATCTGCTGCACTACCCCTTTTTTTCCCCCCATCTCTCTCCCTTTTTGCCCTCTTATCCCCCTTAAGTCGCTGGCAACATTTTTAATATAAACGGAGTTAGCGCAGCAAAAGCCTCGTTTAGTTTCTAGACTAGCCTAACGGGTGGCTGTTGCCTCACATTCACGGACCCACAGTCACAGTCAATAACTCACGACGCGCGGCCCAAGGGTAGCTGGCGAGTGAGAGAGTGAGTGAACGTAGTGTGTGTGTGTGTGTGTGCGTGTGTGTGAGTGTGAGAGTGGCATTGCTTATGCGCGTGAGAGCGAGGCCGCGCTCGGCTATGCTAATGCTGCGCCGCTCACACAGACATGGGCCTGCTGAGCGCTTTGCCAGAAAACAGACAGGCACGAGCTACTGCCAACTGGTCGATAGGAACAGCAGTTTGTGGCTTTGTGGAAGGAGAAGGCCTAATAGCTCTATGTCTGCCTGTTACTGAACGGGTAGTAGATCTAGCTGAGTAGCAGTGTGGGAAGCAACAGGCGGTTTTCAGTCACAGGACGGCTCTCGTGTGACTTATGGATTTTGTAGTCGTTTCTGACCTGTCGTAATATTCTGTGAGTATTTGGTATTATGATTATGACCCCAACAATGTCCCATTACATTGGCTCTAGATCTAGTACGAGCTTTGAAACGTAATGATAACATAGCCCTGCTCGGTTATCAAGCTCAGTGCGTCAGTGGTTCCTGCAATGACAATCTTATCATCATGTCGCCTGGCGGTTGCTACACTGAGAGTGAGAGTCATGAGTTGATAGCTTTGATCGCAGCTGCTCTATAGCTCAGTGCATGTTAACTTTTGTAGAAAGGGGGTGTCATTAGTTCTGAAATTTACCTCTTACGCCTTTGTTTGATTGGGTAGAAAGTGGGGTATGAATTGATTAGATTTTGAGCCTGAATAGTTCTTGTAGTTGTAGCCTGTAACTGTAAACTCTATATAGCTCATGATACTGTAAGGTGGGAATGTTGGTTTGTTTTTGTGTGTCTGTTGATGAACTTAGAGTGTTGTAATGAATGAACTAGAGTGAGGAAGATTTGTTGCTTTTACTTTTATGGTATAGGATTCTTTTAAAAAGCACATATATATATATATATTATTAAGAGCTGTTCTTCGTAAGGTGTTTTGTTTGTTTTCCTCAGGTCAACATGAAGTTGACACAATTCTATTATTAACTTAAGATGACCTTGCATCCCTCTCCTCTACATTTTCATCTTTAGCCAAGAGAAAGAGAAAGCAAAAATTGAGAAAAGGAAAGGGACAGTCAGGGAAATGCTTGCATAGAGTGCATACAGGATGCATTATATGAACAAACACACCACACACACACACACACACACACACACACACACACATACACACCCACACACACCACACACACACACACACACATAC